ACGAAAATGTATCGTTGTTGGTTTTGACTTGATTGTGTTCCCCACCCAGATTTCTGACTTACATCAACAACAATATCAACAACAACAAATATTACCAATCATAATAATCACGATTATTTTCTTCAACTTCAGCGCTGCACTCAGTTCGAGTTCGTCTATTCAGTTATTCCCAATATTATTGCTGAAATGAAATTCAACTCTGTTTTTACAGCTACTCCGGTATTTGGTTGTGTGATATGAATCATTACAAATATCCACTTCTCATCGTTAAAAGCAGAATTTTCGTGAACTTATTCATTAGTGAATCACCTACCCATGCTGATCCGTTCGAGAAAATTTTGCTGGAGAATCTGTTACGATAAAATCTGCTATTGATTCGTTCAATTCCGTGACCAGACGATTGTAAATGTTGAACGAGCGCATATTGGTCGAATAATTCATCTGTTGATACTTTCTATTCTCAATCTATTCTGGGCTTGTGGCAGAATTGACCAAGCTTGAAAATAGTTTTTTGACTTGGCTACTACGATTCTATTCAAATGACAACACAATCCACTGCATTCACTGCAGTTACCAGCCATTTGACATGTGTCAGATACAGTAGCATCTCCAGTGTTAACATGCGATTTTTGTTCTGGTCGTAATGCTGTATGGTCATTGCCTCAATAAGCAATTGCTGTTTGTTGGGCCAGGCTAATCGGACGCTCGCTAATCTATTTGACAATGTTCACTGATATCCAATGCAAATAATTCTGAATTTGTTCGTCCTACTACTAAAAAAGCTTAAGCGTTTTGCTTTGTGGTGGTAATAAGCGCTTGGCTTTTTGCACACTTCTATGCCTTATCGAGCGCGTTCTCCCTCAGCCTCTTTGCAGCCACCCAGCAATCCTCCCTCGTTACGCAGTTTTCCTGGTATTGCTGAACTAAGGTAAACACTCTCATTTTACTACTTTTTGCATATTCTTTGCATCAGCACGCTCGATCGCTTTCAATCATTCAGAACTCCATCGAACAGTCGGTAGCTTCTGAATCCTCCGCAGGATTTGTATCACTGGTTATCCGATTAAGTTCATCGAACTGCAGTGTTGTCGAAAAACGACGATGCAAATTCGATATCGTAAAAATATGTTACTTCACACTCACTGTGTCAAATTCGTTTGTTTTTGTACACATCGAACACCGCAAATCAACGATAATAGACCTCACCTCAAAACCTCGCAAACTCTCACATTTCATCTCAACAAGCGGAAAACAGAAACCTTCTTGTACATTGATACATTAAACCTTCTACATTAAACCTTCTTGTACATTAAACCTTCTTGTACTAAATCAATCCGTTACATCCATCCTTGAACAAATCATTTTTGATCTGATTTCAGATCAGTTTGCTTTTCGGCGAGCGCTTGAATTGCCATGACAAGACTGAGTTATCACCAACATCATTGGTACCTCTTAGAAGATACCACTAACTTTCTCCATCGCGGTTTTCATAAACCAGCGTAACTCTTAACTATTGGTTTCGAATGATGTTGATCACAATGACAAATCTAAACTAACATTTCTGCTCTACTGATTGAATGAGTCGTATTTGACGGCTTTATGACTTAACACAATACCAGTATCATTGTATCCTGAAATCGGGATGGATGTAACGGATTGATTTAGTACAAGAAGGTTTAA